GAATTGTGTGGCCGCAGGATCAAATTTTACACTCAAGAAATTGTATTTTTCCGCCAGGATTTGCTGTATAGAATGCGCCGATCATGTTTAATGCCACCTTCTACGGAAGAAACTGATGATCTCTTTCAGCATGTAATTTATTCCAGTGTTTTCTGCCATTTTTTCATTAATTAAACGACTTTTTTGGATTCACACCCACTAACCACAAGATTTTGAATTTCTGTTGCAGCTGGTTGCTACCATAACCCACCAGAGTCATCTCTGTCCATTGCCTCTAACAGTTCAACCCATCATCTGGAACTATGATCACTGCCTATATCTTTATCCAACTCCACATACGGTACTAATAGTTTAGTCTTGTTAAACGATATCAAATATTGCTTTGCGAACTACCTCGATGTCATACTTAAATTTCTAGGGATGCCTTTTGGGAAATGGGTTGCTAGCTATCATGAACTTGCGAGATCCTTAAATGCTAGAATCTCCAATTTATCAGTTGTATTTATCTTATCCTCAATGAAATAAGAAATTGCAGTTTGCTGAAAATGAATTTAGAGATGGGTAGATGATAAACCCCGACTTTGCATCCATACTCCTTTATCTGACTCGAGCAGTAGATAATTTACATATTTAATTCATTGCACTCTAAACTTTTGCGAATGTCATGTATAAAGCTTACGATTTGAGAGGAAATTTATTGGTACCTTTTCAAGTGGTCCGAACTGAAAGGAATATGATGTTTTTTTTTTCTATGGGTAAACCTGGCATTTGATGATTTCTTGTTGATGCCCTTGCATGCGGTAATGAGGTATGTGATTTTTTTTTCCCGTCAATATCTCAGATTGTGAGAAAGTTTGTTTTCGTACTTCTGTTTCTTGATGACACTATTTGATTTCGTATCTATCTCACATCTTTAGCCTTGACGGTCTGGGCTATTATGTAACAAGGGTAGGATGACACTGATTTTTTCAAGTGGCTCATTTGATTATAAAAACTGGAAGATCTGTAAGAACTTGACAGAGAAGAGAGCATTTCCAATTATTTCAAATACTGGAAAGTGATTAGATGCTTGTTTCACTGTTATCCTGTGATGCAGATAATATTAGGAGACAGAAGTGAGCAAAAGGCTTTCAAATACACAGGAATCACTTGTTTTAATACCGGTTCCTTCTCAATTGACAGCACCTTTGTGGCCTACAGGCCATGCTCTCAGGAAGTAGAATTGTCAGCCTTGTAAGCTTTGGAAAATTTTCCTTCGGTTCATCAGCCTATAATCTCGGCATCTCAGAGACAAGTGATTTATACATTCTTTAGCAAGTGAATGCAGGGCAGTGTACGGAGCTGGAAATTGTGTACTCTTATATTTTTGTTTGGAGAATTGGGACTGTAGCTTCCCTATTACTGCATAACTTTATTACCACCTTGCTAATCAGTGGAAATTGTTGTACAGTAGGACCAGTTTAGGGAGGATACTACTGTTTGTGTGTTCATTGAATTGTTATGGGGCTCTAACAAACAATGTTATCGATACATTATGGCTAAACAAAAATTATTTACATTGTCGTGAGAATACTTTATGCGTTCAAGCAGCCTGTTATCAATTGAGGACAACAAAGTATGAGTCAGTAGCTGATTCATGTATGGCTGGTTTGGTTCACTGGATCAAATGGAATGTAATTAAATGTAATGTTAAAGGAATGAAATGAAATGTAATGATTATTACATGGGTTTGTTTGGTACGTTACAAGATGAATATATTTTTCAAGAGAAAAATACCAAAAGAGTTATGAAAGGACATTTTTAACCTTAATAAAAAAAAATCCAGATGTCTTCCTCTCTTTTCTCGACAATGGCTTTCTAGCAACATCACAATCACCTATCTAACACCTTATGCCTACGTAGACCACACCAGTAACATAATCAAACCCAAAAACCCATAAATTGAAAATTCAATCAAAGATGATGAGGATGTGAGGAAGATGCAAATGAAAAGTTGAAATCTGGTGGCGTGAGATTTGAGAATGAGAAGTCGAAGATGCAAATGCTTGGAGTAGAGTGTAGCAGTGGTGTTGGAGTTTCATGAGTGAACTATTGGCGTCGAGGTAGGCTTCAGATAGATCACTTATCTTCAACTGCAATGGAAGAGGTGTAACGATGGATGAGGGAAAAAGATGTCGATAAGAAAGGAGGTGGTTGAAGGAACATCTAGAGTCGAACCCATTTCTGTGGGAGAGGATGGCAATCGAAGAAGGATGAGAGGTTGGAAGATGCTGTCAATGAAGGAGGGTGAGGGTGAGATGCTATCGCCTATCGATATGGAAGAAGGGGACAAGAGGATGAGGGTATTTTGGTACAAAAGAGCATTTCGGGTAGTGGGAATGGGGATTACACAAGCCTAGCTATGTAATCCTGAATACATCATTTAAGATAATCCTCTTTACATGATACAATCTTCTTTACATTACAATGGACTAACCAAACAACATGTTTGAAAGGAATGAATCAATATTACATATAATCCTCTTATAATGAATCGAACCAAACAGACTAGTAGAGATAGTGAAAATTATATAGCGAATTATAAATTTGCCATCAATTTTTACATGTGTAGAGCTAATGGGATTGACATGATAAGTTAACTTGAACATCTTGATCAATTGTTATTGTCTTAGTTTTTTCATGTTTAGTACTAATTTTTTTTGATTTATTTGAACTAGCTTGTTAAACGTGGATCAAATTTTTGGTTCTAGTCTAAGAATGCCCTAAAGTTTCATTGTTTTTTTTTTTTTTTGTAAAGATGCAAAGTGAGAGATGTGTTGCAGATAGTGAAATATGAGGATAAGATTGAGCCATTGGAATTCAAGAGATGAAAATGGAGTATCACTTATTAGTTAGTGGTGGCCATGTGTGAGGTTTCATGATTTAGATAAGTCAAATTCATTTAAATTATACTTAAAATACTTGAACATATAAAAAATTCATATAGTTAAGTCCAATTTTAACTCATCAAGCTTTTAATTTTATTCGAGCTAGTTTAAATACTTGAATTGTTAAATATTATTACTATTTTTTTGCACTAATCTCAATTTTTATATTAAAAAATTAATTTTTTTTCCAGCAACATAACACTATAACATACTTTTTTTTTATCTTTATTAAAATGAGACTAAATATTGAAAGAATAAAGATAAAAAGTATATGAAATAACTTGTATTTATTTGCATGATAATATCAACAAAGGACTTTGGATAAAGCTTACTTTCTTAGAAGAATTTTTAATAATTAAATATTAATAAATTAATAAGTAAAGTTATTGTTTTGATAAATATTGAATCCATCTAAGATTCTTATAAAATGTTAAATTCTCTTTAGGGTCATTCATTGATATTTTCCCCTTTTTTTTAATATTTTAAAAAATTTCAAAATAAACTGTTCTTAAAACATAAAAACTTCGTGAAAACAAAAGTGAATGTTAATTTTATTATTGAAGACAAAAAATTTAAGTATTTGAGTTAAGCTCATTGAAATCTGCGCCTGATTTCGCTTTCTTCAGATGACTCGAATGAGTTCAAAATAAAAAAAAATTAAAATTCTCAAACCCAACCCTAAAATTTTTTTTTAACTTGTTTAGATTGGATGGAATTTGACGTGAATTATAATCGTGGGTCATTAAATGAGGAAGAAGACAGTACAACTGAAATAAAATGAAGAAATTCGAGTATTTAGATTGGACTTGGAAGCCTGGCACGGCCGTGAACAAATTCCGGTGACCAGCAAAACGCACCGGCTAAGAGGAGAAGAAACCCAATGCTACACTGCGGACTTGCGAGTTGTGAATTGCGATACATCTTCATCTCAGCCTCTCCTCTCTCTTCATCTCAGACGGTGCCTCTCCTTCCTCTCGCTCTCGGCCTCGCGAATCACGATCTCAGCAACTCAGCCTCTTCTCCCTCTCGGCCTCACAATCTCAGATCTCAATCTCTCAATTTCGACGAGGAAGTCGCAGTACTCTCGCCCCTCGGCCCTCGCTCATGATTTCAGATTGTCGGCGTCTCCTCCCTCACGGTGCTCACCTATCAGCCAGCTCGATATCAGCGACAGTGTCTCGTTGGACTCCTGTAGCTGCTCGCGACGGACTCCTCTAGACAGAGAACCGTGGGTACTCGTTCTTGCCTCTGTCACGGTTCTCAATCTCGGCTTTAGGTGCTCCCGCCTCTATCTAATTCTTTGATTCTTATCTGATTCGGCTGCTTCTTGTTTAAACTGATTATTCTCTATCTGATTGACTGATTCTCTGCTATGCCTCTATCTCTGCTTTGTTGTTTGGAGCTTAGATTATTCAGGTAGTTAGGCTTGCCAAGGCAAGAACTTCATCATTTAAGTCAAATAAGAATATATTTGTGCAACTCTTTCAGGAAGAATTTCATATCTTGGACAATTGAATGGCTGTTTCACCAAACAGATATCGTTGTAGTTGACCATGGCTGAGCCACACTGTTGATTTCTTCTGCTTTATATGGTGCTATATTACAAAAGAAAAATAAAGATGCTACTCTGTTTACTTTCATACTGTCTGATAAGAGTTTGGAGAATTCAATTTTTGAGAGGATGTCATGCTCATGATTTCTAGAGTCAGTGAGAACGAGAGCTTCAACTCTAATGTGGGTAAAATTTCTAGGTTAGCGCGTGAAGCCGGTAAAAGGGAAAAACGAAAAAAATCCTTAGTTGAGTCATTTGCCTGAGGCTAAGCTTCCAGCGAATCTGGTCGGAGAACGGAGACGATCTTCTGAGCCTCGGAGGATCTCACTGCTGAACTAAACATGCTGCGCACTGCTACAGGGCATGCCGTCTCCAGACTTCCCCATTTTCTTCCATCTTCTTCCTCTTCTTTCCTTCTCTCTTCCCCTAATTCCCCCCATCTCAATTTCTCTGCTCTTTCGCTAGCCCCAAATGCAAATAACATCGACGACGCCGTCCTTTCATTTTATAGCTTGCTCCGTATGCGACCCCCACCTTCCATAATTCAAATTAATAAGCTTTTAGGATCAATTGCCAAGGCTAAGCATCATCGCACTGCTATCTCACTTTTTGCACATGTGGAGCTCACGGGATTCGCACCTGATTTAGTTTCCCTGAACATCTTGATCAATTGTTGCTGCCAGATGGGTCAGATGCATTCGGCTTTTTCGGTATTGGGGAAGATTTTCAAGATGGGCATTCAACCGGATCTCATAACTATGAACTCCCTGTTGAAAGGACTCTGTATTAAGAAAAAGATTGAGGAAGCGCTGGAATTTCATGACAAACTAAGGTCCAGAGGATTTCAGTTAGATAAAATATGTTATGGGACCTTGATCATTGGGTTACATAAAACTGGAAAAACAAGGTGTGCCATCAAATTGCTCAAACTGATGAAGAGACAGGGAATCAAGCCTAGTTTGTATATGTATAATGCAATCATTGACGGCCTTTGTAAAGATGGACATGTAACAGAGGCATATGAATTGTGTTTTCAAATGATTGAGCATGGGGTTTTGCCAGATATTATTACTTTCAACTCTATTGTTCATGGTTTCCTTAGCATGGGGAAGTGGCAAGAAGCTACTCAAGTTCTCCATGAGATGGCATTGAAAGACATCAAATTTGACGTTTATACTTTTAATATATTGGTTGATGCATTTTGTAAAGAAGGAAGAATAATAGAAGCCCAAACTGTGTTTGGTATGATGATGAAATGTGGTGAGAGACCTGACATGGTAACTTATAATACTTTAATGGATGGCTATTGTGCGGTGAATAAAATTAATGAGACAAAGGAAGTATTCAATAAGGTGGTTCAAAGTGGTTGTACTCCTGATGTAGTTTGTTATGGTATCTTGATCGATGGGTTATGTAAGGTTAAAATGGTTGATGAAGCTATGGATTTCTTTGAAGAAATGCGTCGCAAAAACATTATTCCCAATAAAATAATTTACAGTTCTCTTATTGATGGTTTGTCTAAATCAGGGAGAATGCTGGCTGCGGAAGAACTATTTTTTGAGATGCTTGGCCATGGTCATACTCCTGATATAATCACATATAATATTTTATTAGATGCATTTTGCAAAAGCGAGAATCTTGATATGGGGATTGCGTTAATCAAGAAAGTTGTTGGCAGAGGAATTTGGCCTTGTGTATACACATACAGTATACTTATTGATGGTTTGTTTAAAGGTGGTAGGCTAAATGATGCGCGAGAGATATTTTGGTACCTTTCAATGAAAGGCCGTCTTTTAAATGTCTGCACTTATAACATCATGATCCACGGCCTTTGTAGAGAAGGCTTGCTTGATGAAGCTATGGCCTTGCTTCCAGAAATGAAAGAGAATGGCTGTCTCCCTGATAAAATTACATGTCATATACTTATGCAAGCTCTTTTGGAAAAAAGTGAGAATGATAAGGCAGAGAAGTTTATTCATGAAATGATTAGTAATGGTCTTCCAATACGATAAACAAGGTCAGATACTCCATTTTTAATTTATGTTATACTTGTACACATGCCAATTTTCATTTAATAGTTAGCAAATGCTTGTTTCTTTCTTGTTAAAATTGTTGGACTATCATCTGATGGCTTGAGCGGTGCTGAAGAAAAGAAGTATCGTTCAAAGCGTATGTTTAATATATCCATGTGGACTTTGTGTTTGTTCCCATTGTTTAAATTTCTTTTTCCTCTCGAGTCTTAACATGACTTGGCTCATTCTTCCTTTGTGGCTTATGTCTTGTTTAATTTTTTCGACTCTAATGTGCATCTCAGCTGTTGTTTATGAACTAATATTTTATTAAAGTTGTATCTCAAATAATTTGTTCTTGGATTCCATAATCTAAACTGTCATTCCCTTTTCAGAATATTATGGACCATGTAAGAAGTTTATTAGGTTGCTTCATGTTGAATTTATTTAGAGCACAAGCATGAATAAACGTTCAGTAGTTTGTATCATATTGGTAGAGGTTATGTCTGCTGCAACAGTTTCCAAATAGATGTTTATTTTGGCGAACTGGTAAGTATATTATTTTGTGTTCGTTAACTCTAAATCACAAAACACTGCCAAAAATTTTTTGGCTACCCCTTTCATGATTTTTCAGGAAGATGATCAGATCATTTGGAACGAGCATTCCAGCCGGGCAATTTTCAGCTAAGGTTGCCTTTTCTCAGCTTTGTGATGATTATGGACCCAATTTTCAACTAAAGTTGTCTTCGTATTCTCTTAATCATACCTTTCTTCAGTGCAGCTTTGCTAGAGCCGTTTGGTTGGTTCTTCTCTCCTTACGCTCTGATGAACTTGCACCTGATGACATTTCTTCATGGCCTAGGGAAATGATGCTGCTTCTTTCTTCTTCAAAAGAAGACCTTCTCAAAGATATCATTGTCATTCTTCATAGTCTTTGGAAGCAAAGAAATGAGATACTTTATAAAGGTGGTCCAAAGTCTCCATCTCATCTTGGTCCTTTGATCTCATATTACCATCAACTACATCTCCACCCATTTTTCGCTCTTCAATCCTCCTCCCCAGATCCCGAAGATTTAGTCCGCCAAACGTCTTGCCTTCATCTCAAGATTGGACCTGAAGAATCTATAGGAAAAAAAAAATGAACACGCTTCCTTTATCTGGATTCAACCCTTGCAAGGCAAAAGTCTCATTAGACATTTCAAGTTGTGTCTCAAGTTCCCTGTGATTGCTGGAAGCAGCGGTAAATCTGCTCTAAGAATGGCTCATATATGGATCATTTATGTATATCCCACCACTGAACACGGGGGATGTATTCTGTTTATCCAATGCTACACGAAAAAGCCTTATCTTGCCATCGATTGATAGGTTCCAAGATGAGTAAACAGAAATAAGGAACATAAATCTCTTTTAACATATAAAATTAGAATATAACTTAATAATATTAATAAGAGAACATAAAACTGATATAAGAAAGTAAAAGGAATAAATCTATCAAGATGATATAAAACAAAAATTTCGTTCTATATTTTGCTCAATAATCACACTTAGGAAAATCTATAAAGGGTCAAAAGTCTTAAAAGTATGTTTTATTTATGATATGCTTGCTTTTAAGTTGCTAAACATATTTATAATGATAAATATAATTTAAAATAATGAATAAAATTTACATAACTAAATAATTAAATAAAACTGAATAAAATCTTCTAGAATCTATATCTTTATAAAATACTAAATAAAATTTAAAAAATTAAATATTTGAATAAAATTTAAAAAATTAGATATTTGGATAAATATCTAAATATCTATATAAAATTTAAATAACTAAGTACCTTAAAAAAATCTAAACAATATTATTAAATAGAAAATATCTAAAATAAATTTAAAATAATATTTATTTATAATATCTATTTTCTCATATCACTCTTTTTCTCATAACTCTATCAATATTCCCCCTTAAAAATTTGCCTTGTCCTCAAGGCAAAACATAAGCAATGGCTTTCTTGTGTATTTAGAGCTTGAGATGGAAGTAATAGATAAATAGCAGCATTTTCAATGTGGATTTCAAAAGGTCAAACAAGAAGCTCATGGAAACTTTAAGAATAAAGTTGTAGTTAGACCCACTATCCACTAAGTCTAAGACCTGGCATTCAAAAAAGCTCATTTGAAGCTTTATTGCAGATATGTTGTTTTTATCTAAAATAGCATTGAGGGAAATTTCAACCTCATAAGGTTTCATCTCCATGGTTTTGTCCTCTTCATGGTGAGGAACAATTTCTTCATCCTCCTTTGTAATTTCAAGAGGCAAAAAAGATCCATTGCAATGATGCCCATGTTTGATAGTCTTACCATAGCTAAAACACAATCCTATCTCTTATTGTCGCTGCTATTTGGCTTTCATGGAAGCCATTCTAAATGTTGGCTTGTGAGGCAACGAGGTTGAAGTTTTTGGCTGAAGGAAGTTTGAAGTCAATGCTAATGTCTCTTTGAAGTCACGTGCTATTTGATAAGGGACTGAAGGAAACAAAGGCTTAGTTTGGTTTTGTTGAGCAGTTTTGAGCCTGGAAGAGTTTTTGGCTTTTAACTCATATTTAAGGGCCAACTAACAGCTCAATAACATGTCTTAGGTTTATGAATTGGACATCATATTTGAGCTTCTCCTTGAGGCCTTTGATGAAGACTCCCAAGAGGCAATGTTCCGACCAATACTTCACACGAGTAGAGCACCTAGCAAATTCCAAGCAATACTCCTGCATGAAACCAGTTTGCTTAATGCTACATGAGAACTCGTCTGGGTTCTGATATTCTAGAGGCTCATAATTTTCTAGTAACACCTCCACTAATTCTTCCCAATAGAGGATTGTACGTTCCATGTTAATTGAAGTAAAGAAATCACAAGCATCTCTCTCTAAATGCCTTAATGCAATATCAATTTTGAAGTCTTTAGAAGTGTGATAATATCAAAAATAATTTTTACCTTCTAAAATCCATGGTTGTGGATCTCCACTATCATACTTGGAAAAATGTGTTCTAGAAGATGGAAGATAATAGGATGGGATGGGCAGTAAAAATGTGGGTTTGTGAAAAAGTCGTGCAGAATAGGTAGGCACCATATTTGGATCAAATAGCTTTGATACTAAATAATTGGTTCCAAGATGAGTAAACAAAAATAAGGAACATAAATCTCTAACTTCATAATATTAATAAGAAAACATAGAATTGATAAAAAAAAAAGTAGAAGAAATAAATCTATTAAGATGATATAAAATAAGAATCTCGTTTTATACTTCTTTCAATAACTACGCTTAAGAGATTCACCAAAGAGCCTAAAGTTTCAAAAGCTTGTTTTATTTATGATATGCTTGCTTCTAAGTTGCTAAGTATATTTATAATGGTAAATACAATTTAAAATAATAAATAAAATTTAAATAACTAGATAATTAAATAAAAGTAAATAAAAACTCTCAGAATCTATATCTATATAAAATACTAAATAAAATTTGAAGAACTAAATATTTGAATAAAATCTAAATAACTAGATATCTAGATAAATATATAGATATCTAAATATCTATATAAAATATAAATAACTAAATACCTAAATAAAATCTAAAATATTATTAAATAAAAAATATTTAAAATAAATTAAAAAAATATTTATTTATGATATTTATCTTTTTAAATTACCCATTATCTCAGAACTCTTTCATCGATCTTCACTGAAAACTGTATCAAAGATCTACACAACACAGCGACATTGCCTTTGCTGGGAATTTATTTTTTTTGGCAATCTTTATATTTCCACTTTCACTAACGGCAGTTTTTGTAATCGTTATTTGGAAGGGTGGCCTCCAGTTTGTAACCTCATTTTATATTAATGAAATTGTGATGAGATCCCATCGGGCATCGGCTATTGCTGACAAAACTCGCAGAAGGAGATACAAAAGCTGGCAAAATGGCAGAAAAATGTCGAATTACTGGTCTAGAAGAAAATACAAGGGCTAGAATATGGCTTTTGTCGGTGAATGGTAATAGGTACATATTTTATAATTAAATAAATATAAATTTTAATTTTAATTTAATTATATTTATTTAATTAATATTTTTATACTTTCTTCTCATCACTTAATTAAATACAAAATTTAATCATATCTTTTTTTATATTTTGTAGGAAAATAATAGATTAAATAAATAAGAAAATGAAAAGAAAATAATATATATACGTACATAGAGAGAGAGAAGGAACAACGCGGCAAAATCCCACGTCTAATTCAAGGAAGCACACGTGTGTCTGTGTGGAGAGAGAGGCAAGCATGCATTTTGAAAGAAGTTTTATGGGAAAAAGGTCAAAGATATTATAGATATAGATATATATATATATATATATATATAAATCTCACATTGATTAGGGGAAAAAAAAAGAAGAAGAACCTTCACTTTAACTATAAATATTCCCTCCATCAAGAAAGAAGGAATTCAATCACTTATTTGAGTATCTCAGAAACTTTTTTTGAGATATTTAGAATTCGTAGAAGCATTTTGAAGGTTGAAAGTAAGATTGTTAAGGAATTCTATAATTTATAATTATTTCTTTTTCACTCCTTAATTTTTTCTGTAATCATTTTTTATGATTAAAAATTTTAGAACGGTTTTATTTGATTTTATTATGTGTTTCTAAACTACCCAATAGGTAGGAATGTAGCCCAATTGAGAGCTAGTTTTTTATTTTTTTTATTTTGACTCTTTGCATTTATATTTATGAATATTTTTATTTTTTTTAATTATATTTTTTTCTCTTATTCTTTATATTAATTTAATGACCGGCCATTATTTAATCAAATTTATGGATAATCTTGATGGATTGAGAGGTGAAGAGAGAACCTAGATCTAAAGAAATAAACATAAACAATTAAACTAGAGATAGTTCTAGAAATTTGTGATAATTTAAACTATAGTTTCATGGTTTAATTAGTTGTTTGGGTATTGTAGAAACGAATTTAAATGCT